AGTTAATCATCTCAGGTAAATCTTGCTCGAATCCCTTTTCGTCTCAAAATTAAAGAAAAGATTATTTTGTATCAATAAACCACGGCCGTGGCTCATTGCGCTCTTTGTCGTTCATCGATTTAAGTACCAGCTGGAAACTTAGCAAGAATAATTGTCCGGATCTCGGTGAAAGCGAACCAAGTGCCGTCTTATTTACGGGATAAAACCTACAGTATCCACTTACATTGAATAAAAGACCCTAACTTCGATCGAAGTTGATTATAATAACAGTAACACTTAAACAAAGCCAGGGAAATTTCATTGGAAGAAAAGACAAACATTTTCAGCTCCCACGTAATATCAATCCTTCTATATATTGCTGAATACTGGACAATTTCATCAGAAACGATGAGGAAACTTCAAAGAACAGATATATAAAGGGTAGCGGAAAGAAACTCCATATTTAAAATTGTTAATAACTTTATTAATTATTGATTGATTTTCATGAAACTTGTTTTATTTTGAGCAGTATACTAAAGGTGGGTCACTATTTGGGGGTTTTTTTTCTCGTCAGAATCCATCTTGTACATTTACAAATCTACCATTCCGTGCATTGAATACTACTGCCATATCTGGTCTGGTGCTTCTCTTGTACATCTCGAGATTCTTGACAAAAATTCAAGAAAAGAATCTGTAATATAATCGATTCTGAATAGGCATCTCGACACAGCGTAACTTCCCTCTGTCTACAAATATTTTCATGGCAACTGCTCTGACAAGCTTTTACTCTCTTACCACGGCTACATGAATTTAAGCGGGGGCTACTAGACTGGCATCTAGATCCCACCGATTTACTGTGGAAATAGCTAAAAGCAACCATCATTTCTACTCCAACAGTTTCTTTTCTTACATCTTCTTTCTTTGAAACTCCATTCTTTCCCTGATAACTACAATCATCAAAAATTTAAATGGAATATCAATCGCCATCTTCTGTCTTATTGAAACCCTTTTTTCCCTTCCTCAGGTTTTCCTGTACTCAGTCTTTTCTTTCACTTTCACTCTCTATAACACCCTGTGTACTAGTGGTGTTTCCGCCTTGCTTGGGGTGAAATGATTAATTTTTTTTTATGATGGCGGAAGTACCAGACAATGTTAGAATGCTACCTATTGAATATTTTTTTTCCAATCTGAATGATGAGGAACGACTCTTTGTTTGAAATCTACCGCAGATCCCGTACACATCAACGTGGAATGATTAATTTTTGATGGTTTTGGCATGTAGTGAAGCACATCATCCATGAACATGACGCTACTATCTCTTACACTTTTACCTCGGACTGCCACAATTCGTAACTGTTGGGAAATTTCAAGTGATGTGGTTGTTGTTATTTTGGTACGGTTATTTATTTGGGATTATATCGCGCCGGTCTATGAAATCTGATGAAGGATTGCCTTTTTTCAAGAGCTAGAGGATTCTTTTACTTGAAGCCATTTTTAATGATTGGCAGAAGTACCAGACAGTGTTAGAACGCTACCTTTTGCACATTTTCTTTCAATCTGGATGCTGAGGGACGACCATTTCTTGTCTCTTTAAGAGCTAGAGGATTCATTCGCTTGAAAACATTTTTTTTGATAAATTACCTTCGAAAACGATTGTACATAGCTGATTACTGGAAGATTTCTGAACGAGTTGCACAGCAAGTATGACATCCATATGAAAGCCTAAATCTGACGAAACTATTTAAGAACATGATTTGAATCTTTTAGTTTCAGTGACATGTTGCAATATAGGCCAAAATTGTCCCCAGTGCACCATGTTCTCAGTTTGATTTCCTTATCTCCTATACTGAATTTGTTATACACAGATGTTTATTAATTCAAGATAACTTTTTATAGAATATATATATATATATATATATATATATATATATATATATTGTAATTAAAACTGTAGTTAATTAAAATGAATTCTAACCTAAACTTCTTTTAAATTTGTAATTAAATAAATAAAGTCTACTAAATCAGAGTAATGAAAAATTTTACTTTAGAAATATTTAAATATAAAATTTTAAAAAATCATAATATACTTTAAATATACGGAAAAAAAAGGCCGTAAAAATTTTAACCGTTAACAATATAATTTTTAAAAAAATCTAGACAACAGGCTTTAAAGGAAGTTAGATTTCATTGAAAAATACATCCCTTCCCACGACCCAAACGTAGCAATAACTGATACATTAAATTATAGACATATTGAAAACCCAGCCACCCCTGTCTAGAAAAATAGATTTATCTGTAACCTTGGGAACATGAAAAAGTTACTCCAAAATTCGCTTGAGGATGAAATGGAACTAATGCCTTTCACAAAATTAAATTCGTGGCTTTTAGCTTCCATTTTTGAAACATAGTTAGAACTGTGTAGCGAAAAAAAACATATTTAAAATCAATTAATTTATAATATTAATGCTCTGTAAATTTACATTGAGCACTATTTTGTAAAAATAAAAATATCTATAAGAACACCGGATTATATATCTTGCTGTTCTTTTCTTTTTATTTATATACATATATATATATATATATATATATATATATATATATATATATATATATATATATAGATAATAATCCGTTGTAAATCCTAGTAATATAAAATATTAAAAGTGATCCACAAAAAGAGCTCAATGTATTTATTATAACAGAGCATATAAATTACCTAGAATTGAGATCCAAATTTATCTCATTCGAATAGCTATTTCAACCAACAAGAAGACCAATGCTAGCATTGTCGACTCTGAATTGACAATGCCAATATAGGTCTTCTTCTTGGTTGAAATAGCTATACATATATATATATATATATATATATATATATATTTATATATATTATATTATATTATATTATATTATATTATATAATAAAATCAGAGTGTGCGGGGTAAAATATATATAAAAATAGTAAAGGCAATAGAATAACTATAGAAAAAAAACTCAGATATTATTGTCTCTCCTCGACTTAAAGTTTCATGCAGACACCTACGTAGTTGTGCGGCAGTCACACAATCTTCACGTGGACGAGATACTCAATTCATTATTCTTACTAAGGAATCAAGTCTCTCGTCACAAAGTAATAATATCTGAGTATTATATATATATATATATATATATATATATATATATATATATATTTTAGTTGGATAGATGTGAATTTGTGACCTGGGTTTCACGCTTTAGCGATCGTCAGATGATCGCTAAAGCGTGAAACCAAGGGTCCTACTCACATCTATCCAACAAATATATTATCTATCTCTGATATTGAGCACTTTCTAATTAGTACCGCGCATATAATATATAAATAATTATACATATATATATTTATTTATATTTATATACATTTTTCACACACACATATATATATATATATATATATATATATATATATATATATATATACAGAGAGAGAGAGAGACAACAGACAGACAGAGACAGAGAGAAAGAGTAGAGATAGATAATTTCGTTTTTACCGCTTATCAACCCTTTGCAGGTTATTTAAAGCCAGATATTTTTTTAGATTGCAAGAATTTTGGGGGGCGGGGAGAGATACTAATAGTTTAGTGATATAAATCTTAATTATTAGCCTTTAGCTGGGGAGGAGAAATAGTTTCATACATTTCCCAAGGGCATTTGCGCATTAGTCAATATAACAAATTCAACAGGAATTGGAACTCCGATTAACAGTTTCAAGCTATTATCCATTACACAACCCACACATCCACGATTACAGCTAGATAATTTCGGAAGACTTTATTTACAATACACAAATAAATTAATCCCTCATATATATATATATATATATATATATATATATATATATATATATTAATAAATAGACATATACCTACGTTTGGTTACCCAACTTGTCGAAAACAAGACATAGTTTTGTTGTTTATTTTTAAAATATACAGATACTAATGGTGTGTCGTTGATTCATACTTCAAAATTAAAATAGCACAAAAATAGTACTAAAGCAATACTGGGTTTAAGCGCGGGAAATGAGGTGTAGGTATGTAGGTATGAGTCAATAATAAAAAGAAGGAGAAAAAAAAGGGGAATTGAAGTACCCTTAAATTTTGAATGATGGACGCTGTTCGTACACATGATTATACACTAAAAGTAACGTAATACAAATATGTTGGATTAATAAAAATCCATTCTGTAAAAATTGTCTTTGTTTACGTTTGGATGCGAAACTATGTACATATATGAAAAAAAATTTCGAGAGATTTGTGTCGTTTGAAAGCATGAAACTGGCTTCGCTTGACCGTCTGTAAGGCGTGCCGGGCTAAATGGTGGCTTACTATGCCCTGAGAAATGCAGGCACGATTCCGGCCGAAGGGCACACATATTTCTTTAATAAGATTTCACCAATATTTAGCCCGGTAGGTGAAAATAAACAAATATACTGTTTAATAAATAAACGGGGGTCTTGTTCAAATACGAGTATCCTCTAAAAATAACTTTTAAAGTGATTCATATATACATATATATAATTTTAACAAAATGGGATTGTTTTGAATCTGAATCTGGAAAAAGCCTTATACGTTACTTTTTTAAAAAATGGTTGCCGTTAACCAGATTTTAAAGTATTGTATTTTAGGTAGACGGTCTAAAAGTTTTCCTTTTCTTTTATAGAAATATCATTTATCCTAGTGGATAAAGTAGTGGACTGTGAGTCAAAACATTCGAGATTTCAGAACCCAAATAAATGAAGCTGCTCAATGCGCATAATGAGAGAGAAGAAATCAAACGCCTAATCACAAATTGCTACTTATTGAAAAACTATTGATCTTCCAATCTTCTTAATTTTTTAATGTCGTCAGTGAAAAAAGAGATCAATGCTAAATTAATGAAATATATTTAAAATGTAAATCGCATTTCTACTTCACTCCTTTAAACATTAAGCGATCAAAAATGAAATTATTAAGATATAAGAATATGTATATATAACTCAATGGACTATCATGGGAGGTAAATACTGCCTGCATTAGGTGTGTAATTTAAAAATATTACTGATTAAATTATCTCCCCTGAAAGTTGGTATCACTAATTGCTTCTCTGGAGAATCGAAAAAAGAAAATAATGAAAAATGCTAATTTCCCAATCAGTGTATATATGTGTGCTTGTTGTATTCTAGGATAGATAGATAGATAGATAGATAGATAGATAGATAGATAGATAGATAGATATGAACAGGTTAAAATAAATATGAACAGATAGATAGATAGATATGAACAGATTAAAATAGAGATAGATAGATAGATAGATAGATAGATAGATAGATTAAAATAGATATAAACAGATTAAAATAGATATGAAGATTAAAGTAGATAGATAGATAGATAGATAGATAGATAGGAAAAAAACAGACGACAAAAATTTATTGTGCCAAACAGATGACAGCTTGCTTGTAATTAAAATCAGTACAGTTAATTTTGTTTGTTTGTTTGACAAAGAACATTAACTGGTTTTTCAAAGTTTAATGATTGTAACAAAATCAATTATTTATGGGTACACATAAATTGTGCACGTGTGACTATGTGAATCCAATTGAGCATGTATGCTTTGTGCTTGTTCGATTGTACACATTGGAACACACACACATAAATCTACAAACTCTTTTATGCCTTTATGCTGTAGCCATTTCCTATATAAACAAATTAAAAGCCTCTGGATGTTCTGTCATATTTTCCGACGTCTGTTTTAACACTTCCCGAAAGTTAAAATTCTCTACGTACTTTATTTTGACGTTTCCAAGTCATAGCTTGCACCTTCAGCCGTCTCTCTGCTAGCCACAGCATACATTCTGTTTTCTTTCAGCTGACAGTTTTTCATTTATCGTCCTTTCTTCTTTTCCTGTTTTTTTTTTGGGGGGGTGTCTGTTTGCCAAACCTATGGTTTTACGAATATTGGTTGTCAACCTTTCTCCCTCCGGTCAGAGAGGAACACAGACGACGCTATGCCGAAGAAACAGAATCTCGTCTGGGGAGTTAGACAGTTACACGATCCCATGTATACAAGGTATACGGAGAATTTTTGCCTGACCTTCGGGCTCGGAAATCCCCACTTAAAAAACCGTCTTTGTACCATACCCTGCCTTGTAGGGAAGAGACGGGTTAATAATGATTTTATTCCTGCATTGTTTAGGTCTTCCTGCAGTTTTATTGCTATAAACACATTGTCATCTGGTTGGTTCTTGCTTGCTTTTATTTAGCGGCATATCATCCTTTATGGTTTTATTCAATGCCGAAATCTAAATATTTTTATGCAATTTTATTTCTTTAAAGATTATAATTGTTTAATGAGAAAGGTCTTACTAATTAACCCATAGTTGGGAAGAAGAGGTGATTTTATAACTTTCCCAAGGGTATTTGCGACTAAGTGAATATAACAAACCCAACTGGAATTGGAACTCTTTTGTACGATAAAAAATTCTGGCCTGTCATTCATTACACCATCTGCAAATCCAAGCTTACAGTACCTGGTAATCTCAAGCGGTCACCCATCTAGGTACTGACAAGGCTCGACTTTGCTTACTCTCAATTTATTTAATCTATGGGGTTAGACTGTTCCCGTTCTAGCGATATCTTCTAGTTCTTATTTCTATTAAGTATTATTTCCATTGAGTACAATTACACACTGCCCGATCCAGGGATTGACCTCACAAAAACTATGCAATCAGATTCACAAACCAACGATTTAAGCGAACAGGTCATTGTCCTGTAGGTTACTCAGATCTATAGACACCTGTGGAAGGTCAGAGGGCACAAGGGCCTAAACATTGTGATAACAACAAAGATGGGGACAAGACTCCGAATGTAAGAGAGTATATATAATGATAACTCCTCATTACAGAAATTCAGACCGAAATTTAGTTGCTTTAATTAAAGGAATACTTCTACGGAAATTCTTTATCGGAAATATCTCATTTTTTTTTTTTTGCTACTATATACATGCCCCCACCCCCCAACAATCTTATTGGCAACTAATTTTAATTGTTGTTATAAATTATTTACTTTTATTGCTTGTCTTCCTTAGAATGCAGAATGTTTGTTTTGGGGGATTTTGTGTGTGTGTGTGTGTGTGTGTGTGTGTGTGTGTGTGATAGTCATCCATTAAAGCAATTAATGCAACCAAACATTTTCAACGTTTTATTAAGATATTTTCGGTGGGTTGGCTGTACTATACATACTCCTTTTCTTCTTCTTCTTCTTCTTCTTCTTCTTCTTCTTCTTCTTCTTCTTCTTCTTTTTTCTTCTTTTTTCGTCTTCTTCTTCTACCACTACTTCTTTTTCTTCATCTTCTTCTTTTTTCTTCATCTTCTTTTTTCTTCATCTTCTTCTTTTTTCGTCGTTTTCTTCTTTTTTCTTCTTCTTTTTTCTTCTTCTTTTTTCTTCTTCTTTTTTCGTCTTCTTCTTCTACTACTACTTCTTTTTTCTTCTTCTTTTTTCTTCGTCGTCGTCTTCTTTTTTTCGCCTTCTTCTTCTTTTTTCTTCGTCTTCTTTTTTCCTCTTTTTTCGTTTTCTTCTTCTACTTCTACTTCTTTTTTTCTTCATCTTTTTTCTTCGTCTTCTTCTTTTTTTCTTCGTCTTCTTCTTTTTTCTTCGTCGTCTTCTAATTTTTTCTTCGTCTTCTTCTTTTTCTTCGTCGTCGTCTTCATTTTTCTTCTTCTTCGTCTTCTTCTTTTTCTTCTTCTTCTTTTCTTCTTCTTCTTCTTCTATGTGCTTGTCCCTTCAGGACGGGAATGACCATCCCTCTACAACTTTCATTCTTTCATAGCTGCGAGCAATGTTCGTCTTTTTTACTAACTTACCCACTTTCTGTTCTGCCACCCACAAAAGCTCTTTAGATAGATTACTCGATGTTTCCCTCTCTCCCTCTTGCCTTCAATACCTCTTGTGGGTGTAAGATTTTCCAAACCTTCTTTCCTCATGCCATTAATTATTCTCTTCTAAAGTCTGAATTTAATCATCGCCAATCTCATCAGGTCTACTTGACCGTGAAACATCATCTTGGCACAAAGTATCAGCATTAACCTTCAAAAATAACTTTTCAAATGTTCGATCACTCGTAATATTCAAAGTTGAACGAATCATTTTTCTGTGTTTCAGTCGCTTTTACCTTTTGTAGAAATAATACAAGAACAAAACCCAACATTTTTTTTTTGGTTTCATTTCATTTTTACAGTATCAAGGGAGGAATTTTTTTACATTGCAAGCGAATTCCTTTTTGGAGTATGGACAAGAGCTGCTTACTATTCACTTTCTAGTTTCGATATAATCCAAAAGCATCTCCGCGTCCTTGTGGGTGATGAATTATTTTCCACCATATAATACCTTCTGCATAGATGAAACGTTGCAAGCCACTCGCCACTCCTTCGCTATTGCCATAGAAAGTGTTCAGACGAGCGATATTCCTCAGTTCTAACCTTCAAGCGATCGTGGCGAACCTCTTTTATTCCCTTCGTGTTCTATTGGCAAGATGCAAGTTCCACTCAAATAGCTTCTTCCCACGACCCGCTACTTTGTGGAACTGACTCCCAAAAGCATGCTTTCCCGATCTCTACAATCAATCTGTTCAAGTTAACCGTTATCTTCTACACATATCTTCAAAAAATGTGCCCCGCTATCTCTTATTCTGTAACCCTCTACCTCGAGTGGCTCTTGAGTTTTTCATAGGGTAAAACCAAGTTTAATCATCATTCGAACTACTTATCTTATGTGGAGGTTAAAAATAAATTTGGAGTACACTAATGATACGATGTTCAACGCACGTGACATTGAACTGACGCGGAAGTGTGGTGGGATCGACAGGATATTAGTCTATAAAAATTTCTTAAAAAGCAATGAGCTACTGAATGTACATTTATACGTCGAGAAACTGCAACGTGTCAATAAAAATTTGGTCTAGAAGTGCCCTAGGCTCATCAAAAGGAAAAATGTTCGCCTCTGAGACGAGGCAAACAGCAATAATAAAGGAGAAACACATTTTTGGAATTTGATTGTTCTTTTCTCCCCAACCGGCCATATTTACCTGATCTTCCATCAAGCGATTATTACCTTTTGCATTTGCTACAAAACTCCAACTCAATACGTGGATGATTCTCTATTTATTTATTTATCAGAACTACATGGACTATTGGCTAATACCTGTCCAGTATGGTTTGCATGCAAATTTTGATGCACCATCTTTCTTTCTTCCTTCCTGCCTTCTTTTCTTTCTTTCTCAGACCTACGATGACTATTCACTAATATCTGGCCAGTAGTAGTTAGTATGCATTTTTTCCGCACCATCTAGCTTTCTTTCTTTCTTTCTTTCTTTCTTTCTTTCTTTCTTTCTTTCTTTCTTTCTTTCTCAGACCTATGCTGATAATTGGCTAACACCTGCCTGGTATCGTTCGTTTGCAAATTTTGTCGCGCCATCTTTATTTCTTTCTTTTTCTTTCTTTCTTGCTCATTTCTTCTTTTTTTTTCTTTCTTTCTTTCTTTTTTTACCTCTTTCTTTCTTTCTTTCTTTCTTTCTTTCTTTCTTTATTTCTTTCTTTCTTTCTTTCTTTCTTTCCCCCTTCCTTTCTTTATCTTTCTTTCTTTCTCAGACTTGCGCTGACTATTGGCTAACACCTTTCTAGTATCGTTCGTTTGCAAATTTTGTCGCGCCATCTTTCTTTTCTTTCTTTCTTTCTTTCTCTCTTTCTTTCTTCCTCGCTTCGTTTCTTTTTCTTTCTTTCTTTCTTTCTTTCTCAGACTTACGCTGACTATTGGCTAACACATTCCTAGTATCGTTCGTTTGCAAATTTTGTCGCGCCATCTTTCTTTCTTTCTTTCTCTTTTCCTTTTTTTTTCTTTCTTTCTTTCTTTCTTTCTTTCTTTCTTTCTTTCTTTCTTTCTTTCTTGCTTGCTTGCTTCCTCTCTTCCTTTCTTTCTTTCTAAGACTTCCGCTAACACCTGCCTAGTATCGTTCGTTTGCAAATTTTGTCGCGCCATATTTCTTTTTTCTTTCTTTCTTCCTCCTTTCCTTTCTTTCTTTCTTTCTTTCTTTCTTTCTTTCTTTCTTTCTTTCTTTCTTTCTCTCTCTCTTTCTTTTTGTTTCTTCCTTTCTTTCTTCTCAGTAGCGTTCGTATGCAAATTTTGTCCGCACTATCTACTTTAAATAGAATGCCTTCTCTCCATACCCAACTGTGGAAGAGGATGTAACTCCTGGTGCTTACGACACAACACGCAAAATTTCATAGAAAACTCTTCCAGAGTTAATAATGGCCTTTATAAATTTGAATAAAATATAATAGTACATTATTTTTTAAGAATAAACTTATTAAACAAAATCGAAAATTAATTATAACTCGGACTAATAATAATCTTTAATGCACACGTTTTATATCTATATCCATAAATCTAAATATCCCATATCTAAATATCTTAACTTATATATATATATATATATATATATATATATATATATATATATATATATATATATATGTATGTATGTATGCATGTATGTATGTATATATCAGTTATTCTCTACGCATATAAAGACAATGGTATGACGATAACCTATATTCTGATCGGGAGACTGGAGTTTTTGAAGAGCGTGGAACCACCTCTTAATTGCTGTTGTCAACAGGTCCACTCTGACCCGGGCTGGTAGCTCCAATTAGTGTCCCAGCTAGGGGTAAATAGTGACCCCCCACCAAACAAAAACACTATGAAAGTTTAAAAATACATTTTAATAGTAAAAAAAATACCGAAAATACATGCCCAGCAATACATTTAATACGTAGTTCAAGGTATGCAGCTGCATTCCAAATATATTGAAGCCATAAAATTGTGTTCAAATTATTTAGATTTCGGCATTAAATAACCCATAGAGGTTGATATGCCACTAAACAAAATAAACAAAACAAAGAACATGAACTGTCTTGACCTTAATCCATATAATATCCTACAATTTCTTAAATCAAACCGTATTCTAAAATAACTTAAAAACATAAAAAAACACATATGACTGCCTCTCGTAATTATGTCCACACAAACATGTATATGCACAAAAGATGAGTATCATTTACCATGTATTCAACTGTGAAAGCAGAATGACATATATCATAGTTTTATTACTTTAAATCTCCCAAGAAAACTAAATTTCAGCATTAAATGTCCCATAAAGAGTTGATATGAGGTTAAACAAATCAACTAAGTACACATGAAGTTAATTTTTACTGTTTTTACACTCAATTTATCTCTCTTAATATCGAAATCGTTTCATATTGTTTCTGATTTTCATAATGTTCCTGGCATCCATTGCTCTTTATTTCTATGTCCCCTTAAATCCAACAGCGATATCGTAATTATCCTTTATTTCAAATGTCTTTTATCTTCATCCTTCCTATAATTACACCTGTTCTTCAGACACGGCACTAATCCCCACCACGACTTTCGTCAGCGTTCTTCCTTTCGCCAAAACATTCATTCGCCTTCAAATAATTAAATATGAGTTTCTATCGCCTCATTTATCGAACTGCCTTCCTCATGTATTGATCCAGTTCTCTGGACAATTTTTCTCATATATTTCCAAGCATTTTACACATACATGCTACATCAATCCACTCTGAAGAAAACGTTTACATTATCATATTTTTTGTAATCAAATTCACTAAATACAAGTCAGCAAAGCCACTAAGGCACAAGGGGTTTAATGGGGATTGAAAAAAAAATAAAAAAGAGAAGCATTATTAAAGAGCAATAACAATAAAAGACTAATCAGGAAGACAATTGATGACGATTGGCACTGCATTTAAATTTTTGAAGATCAAAATTGACTGGAAATCATTGAGCCGGAAAAGAGTTCCACAAGCGAGAAGTGCGCGAAAAAAAACTGTTAGCATAGAACTTAAGGTTACATCACGCCAGCTCAAATCTAAATACCGTAGATACTCGCGTATCATGCGACTTTTGAAGACCTAATTTTGAAGCTTATTGTAAGGGGGTCGCATCCTACACGAGATATAATATTAGGGTGTGGGCCATCCGTACATACGCTAATTTTATATCTTGTGTATAATCCGACACTCTTGAAATTAGCTGCGAAATTAGGTTTTCAAACGGCGCATGATACGCGAGTATGTACGGTAACTGGATTCAAATTCATAAAGGTTACATAGGGAAAAGTTCATCAGAACAATTACCATGAAAATATTTATAGAAAAGGCACGGGAAGTAACTTTACGGCCGTGGGAAAGTGACTGAAGCCGAGATGCCAGGTCAGGCCTAATAACTTTTCGGAATCTTCTTTGGATTTTATAAAACCCCAGTTCAAAACCAATAATATTGCGGATTCGTCTTTGGATTTTATCAAGAATCATTAAATATATAGCAGGAGTACCGGACCATATGTGGCAGCAATATTCAAAGTATATATGGTAGACTTATAGAAATTTAAGATATAGTGTGGAATATAAAACGTTCATTGTATTTTTGCCGAAATATTTTATGAAGAACATTTAGTTATAATCAATCGTGTTGTCTTTTTTCGTTTTTTTTTGTTTTTTGTTTTTTTTTAAAAAAATATCGCTTCTGTTTGTAGTGTAAAACCTCTTCAGTGAAAGGCTACGATTTGACAGTTTTTAATGCACACAGTTTTATGATTATCACACTTCAATCAAATGCGATCACTTCGAATATTGTTGCACCTAGTAACGGTTACTCTATGGTTAACTGTTATCTTCCTCACGTATCCACCTAATATGTGTCTTTTACTCAGTAACCATCTACCCCGATTGGCTCTCGGGCCTTTTACAAGGTAAACATCATTGTAAAAAAATAGAATCGACTTTTTCTTCAACTGTATATGATAACTGCTGTGGCCAAGTAAATGGTTAAGTAATAACAAAAACCAGGTTTTCAGATATATCGTATATTAAAAAGTACACCAGAAGAGTATTACACGACTAGTGAGAGTATATCGAATCAACCAACGCTCAATCTATTCGCAGTTCACTGTACCTTCTCTCCTACTAAAGTTATAGTAGGCGGAAGCGTCTAACATAGACTCTTAGAGGGAGACACCACAATAATAACGTATATACTTGCTCACGAATGCATCAAGACGTGCAAAAATGGTTGGGGCAATGGCTAGCGAGCTTGTCTCGCTACATCAATTACGACTGAGTAGTGAGTTCGATCCTCAATGGGTGCCCCGTACGGTTAGAAAAACCGCCGTGTGCAAGATGGTTGGAAATGGATGAAGAAATTGTCAACATGGATCGATATGTGACGAAAGCAATTCGTTGTGTTCGTCCGTGGCAAACCCGATTTAATTACTTGAATGCAAATAAAAGGTTTGGCGAAAGGGAGAGCCCTGATTAAAGGCATAGTGAAGATTAGTGTCATGTTGGATCAACAGATGTAATTAAAGCAGAGATGAGGATAAGAGACATTTGAAACAGAAGATAATTAGGAGACCTTTGTTGGACTGAAGGAGAAATACAAAGAAATGGATTTATGCGTGACATAAAATAATAA